CATGGAGGATGCTCCGCCCCCCCAATCCCGCCACGCTGGCCCCGCCCCTCCGTTCCCGCCACTCTGGCCCCGCCCGGCACAGGGCGGGAGTGGCGCCCGCGGTCTCTCAGCGCTGGCGCTGTCACTTCCAGCCCCGCCCCCGCCTGACAGGATCCGACATGGCTGGTTGTCAGCACGCCCTCACATGCTCCTCAGGGGTAGCGGTTGGAGCCGTGCTGGTCTAATAAACGATACAAAGAACCTCGGGGGTTTCTGAAGCACGGGGCTCCTTTAGGGTAGTGTCCAGGAGCAGCTAAGAGCGGGATCCTCCCCCCCCCCCCGGCGGGTACACACAGCCATTCCCAGCCCTGAACTAGATGGCCCACTGAGGTCCCTTCCGACTCTATGAATCTATGAACAGCTTCTCCTCTAAGACTGAGTCTTTGGTGACGCGTGGGGGTTCACGCGGGTGCACGTGCACCCCCTGAGGTTGGCGGCGCACCCCGAGCTCGGTGGCCACCTTGCCGCCCCCGCCCCCTCGCTGCCGACACCGCCGTGACTGCTTGCGGGAGCTCCCGTTTGCCACCCCCACCACGGCCTGCGGGCTCTTGCCGCGCCCCTCCCCCCCTTTCATGTGTAGAGCAGGGGGTTTTAGCCTCTTAAACTCTCCCCCTCACGGGAAATGCCAGCACTTAGTTTTCACTCGTGTTTTGACCAGAGAAAAGAAAAGACTCACGAGCCATTCGACTGTGGTGCAGCCTCGAGGAAGCCCGCAGCAGGGCAGCCCGGTTGTAGCCCTCTGGGCTCCAGTGAGGAAGGGGCTTTGCATCCCAAACAGTGCTGCGCCACCCTGGTTAAGACTGGCTGACTAGGGAGGAGATATGTGTGAACAAAGTCCTAACAAGCCACGTTTGGGGCGGGGGATCCAGGGGGTGCAGAAGTGCCTGGGTGCAGTGCCCCCCCCCCCTTTGATCCTGCTCTTCCCCAGGTTTAACACCAAATACCTGGCAGCGGCAGCAGCATTTCTAGTCGGGCAGTGCTGAGGGAGCCACTTGATTTCACGGGTCATTGCAGTCTACCTAATAATCCCTTCTCAACTCTTCATTCCTCAGGGGTTAACTACCTTTTCTTTTTAATCATCTTGCTGTCCCACCGCTGAAGCTAGCCTTTCTGCTGCAATTCTGATGGCTGGTAGAAGCTCCTCTTAAAAGTTGATCTAGTTTCACAGCCCTGCAGATTGCTTTTAACTCATGCCAATGAAATTCTATTTGTTTTCACTTCTGTCTTAACCTGCATAGTACAGCCCTAGGCCCCCAGCAGAGCAGTAAAGCTTCTAGGCTATATTTAATAGGAGAAAAATCTGCGTTGTTTGTATGTGTGATGGATGATGCACCTCACCATCTGCAGTCCCTTTTCAAAATTCTAGGTCTGCCCATGGCTATGCTGGTTTCATTATTTTTGGTGGGGTTGGGGGAAAGGATGTATTCAAAGGAAAGAAGCAGGGTGATGTAGAGTGAAGGGAGTGGGAGGGAAGGGCATGGACTGGAACCTAAGTGAAGACAAGAGGAGGGAGATGGTTGGATTGCACAGTTAATTTGGCACAGGGCAGAGAAAGTGCAGTCAGGATGGTAGAACGTTCTCTGAATAACCCTGCTTTGCCTGTCTGTGTCAAGCAAGTTACCACTCTGGGCACAAGCAGATAAGGATGTTGCAGGTTGTTCCAGTTAGGTGGAGAAGCCCATCATTGAAGTCAGGCATCTCTTCGATACAGTTATGCTTATTAATAAAAATTGTGAAGTTCTGTTTCTGTGAATACAGCAGGAATCAAATAAAACCGTCTTTTACATTTCAAGCCTTTTCTAGTCAGCACTTAACCTCAAACTGTTCTTTCTCTAGGGCCATGCTATGTGTTCTGGCTGTGGTTGGTGCTTCCTTGTTGCCTTCTATTTCCTCAAAGACCAGATGTTACAAAAAATGGAGACTTGCATCCTAGAAGGCAACAAGCTTCATGGAAGATAACTGAAGGTGAGCTCCTTACAATTCTTGTCTGTATAATCACAGCACTATTAGGTAAGAAGTGCTATTGCCTCTGTAAGATAGCATTAGAGAGACAGTCACTGGCATAATGTGCCCAGTGGTTTCATATTTCAAAACAGTGTGTTTATAACGGCAAAGAGGATATAAAAGAGCTACAAGAATGGTTCAAGTTCTGAAAAATATGCTTTACAGTGAGAGACTTAAGAAACCCAGTCCTTTTAATTTATCTGAGAGAAGGTTAGGAGGGGACATGGCCTACAGATTCTGACACGAGGAAGAGATTTTTGATGGTAGGTGGTTATTTGATCTATAGGGAGAATCAGTGGTTGGAAGCTGAAGCTAGACAAACTCAGAAGGCACACGTTTTTAACAGACAATTAACTTAGCAAGGGATGTAATAGAGTCATCACAGCTTGCAGCCTTTAGGTTGGGAACTGGTACTTTTTTCAAAAAAATGTGGTAGCTCAAACCAGTTATGGTCTAGATGCAGAAATTATTTGTTCTTTGTCCTGTGCTACATAGGAAATGAAATTATCATAATGATTCCACCACTTTCAAATCTGTAAAACCACCTGGTAGAGGGCAATTGAAAAGCTGAGCAGGTTATTTTACTGATGTGGGTTGTTCTCTTCATATGCTATTGCTTTGTGATGCAAAAAGGAAGCCTCTTCCTTTTCAATAACTTTCTTGAATACAAGGGTTGAAGACTCTTCTGATAATGGCTCATGTATCTGATAGTGTTAAAGTGATGCTGTTGCTGTCTTTGTCCAGGAAATATGTGAGAGGCAAATTGGATTTATAAGCGGGGGATGGCTTGCGACTAATGAATCTACCACTTTGGCCTATAGCAGTTTAAAAAGTGTAACTCAGTAGGTCCATTTAGCGTTTTTTTGGTTTTGCTTTTTTTAAATTTTTTAAGGATTTGAATACTATTCCTTATATAGACACAGCTATCTGAAGGAGCTAGACAGTTGA